TTTTTAAGATATTGTTCATTGGTATATTTGTTATGGTATGTTGATTTCATTTTGTTTTGTTGTTGTTTTAAGAAAATAATGGACATAAATGTGTTCGTTCGATAATTAGTGAGATTATTTTTTCCCTCAGAGTGTACTAAATGCCGTTCCAAGTGTCAAATTTGTTTGTTAATTGCATGAGTAAATTAAGAAAATTTCACGGGATTCCACACCCTTCCGTTTGAGATATTTCATCCGTAGAAAAATTTCTGCCGAGAAGTAAATTTTTCATCGTTGGACTGAATGACCAACGGTAACATTCGAAGACATCTTTTTTTCCGTTTCAAATTTACCGCATTCGGCAAGACGACAATTCGATTCCGATGAACTTTACGTTTCTTTAATGAGGATGTGCTTAAGTAAAAACTTTGATTAAGATCTCAAAAATCAGGTAAAACGATTTCTTTCGTTTTATCCACACGAAATGTTTCCAATGGAACAGATTTTGCTCTCTTCACTTCATTCGAGAAAGTTCAACGGCTTTTGTATTTAGCTAATCGTGCGAAGTCTGATGTGCTTATTGTGTTTTCTTTCGGCTCATTGTGCTGTTTGGATGGCTGTTTGATTTCAGCTCCAAAATCAAATGGCATCATATCCTCTCGCTGACAAATCCATACTATTGTGATGATAGCATTGGAAGTGATTCATTTGTAATTAATTTAGTCAATATTACGGCTGGAATGCAACTCAAATTAATTTACCGACTTTAGTCTCAACTTAATTTATTCATTAATTTGTCATCTGTTCTTGAATGAGAACGAAATCAAGCGAGTAATCCAGTTTCATGAGCTTTTTCCGGGTAATCTGAATCCATTTTCCAGTTGATGTGATCTTATTGATCCGTATCGTCATATGTAAATACAAACAATGTCATCGTCCTCATCATCAAGCGTAGCCATTTCGTCGACAACGCGACTGCTCAAAAGAAATACAACTATTATCGTAACGGGTGTTGGATTGGGAATCGTCTTCATTGGTTATTTGATCAAACGGTAATGTTTTAATCTATTGTTCCTGAGGGTTGATGAAGCTCAAATTCAGTTTGACAAATTAAATTCGTAGAAGCGTTTTGTGTCTTGTCACAATTACGAATTGTTCATTTAACTTTAGTCCTAGTTCAATTAAAAATTTTAACAGTTCATTCGAAAGATTTAAATCAGAATGATTTGACACTGAAGAATGTAAATTTTCTTTCGAATTTGTTTCCAGTTGTTAATACTCGCTGTAACTGTACCATTTTGCGGTTCTCAATGGAGCACTGATGATGAAAATATGGCTAATTTCAAGAAACCTTCGAAAATTTATTCATTGTCAGCAAAATGCTTCGTTTGCTCAGTGATTAAATTGTTCAGTTCGCTGATTTCATATTGATCGCACTAATTTAGGTATTGGTCAAAACACGACGACAGCGAACAGGACGATGCAGATGAACAGTTGCTTACACGACCTTACGATGCCGCTCTAGGTTAGTGCTTATTCATTTCCGATCATACAAATTCTACTGTTTCAGA